TAATGCCTTTGTTCATTTTATTTAAAAGAAAGAGTTCCTGCACTCTGAATACTAAAATATAGTTTAAATGTAAAAAGCTGAAAAATAAAAATGGTATAGTAAAAAATAACTTTTGCCACATGTGCTATTGTTTTAGGAGACACTTTGACAAGTGGACACTGGAAGGCCAAGTTGTGTGTGAGGAGAGCATTCAGCCCAGCTTCCTGTCTGGCCTTGCCATACTGTTCTCTGCATATTACATATGCAATCAGGAGGAGGCACCTTGGAGTATATTTAAAGGTAATGATTGAATTCTTAACAACTTCAGTACCTGCATTTTACACATGTATTCAATATCAGAACTTGCCTTTAGATATATTATCTGTTGAGTTAATGAGTCTTAGGCCCCATCCACACTACTGCGTTTTAGTTTAGAAACGGATAATTAAAACGAATACGATCTCCGTCCACACCCGCGTTTTAGCTGCGTATTAGAATTGATCTCCATCCACATTAAAACGACTGAAAACGCGGATCACGTGACCATTCACCAACACTGGGCATGCGCGTGCCGGTGTAAACACAACTTCATTGATAAAGTTATCCCACCATGCTCTGGGTTAACCCCAAACCGACGCTCCATGTACGGTCAACGCCGCCGCTGCACACGGGAATTGTCACAGATCGCTCGAATAATAGCTTGACTCCGGCACATGTAGGCAGTTATAGCATTGTAAAATGCAGAATTTACTTGTACAACAGCTGCTAGCAAAGATATACGCCATGACTGATAACACCCAATCATAGAGCCGAGCCTGAGCCTCTACTACGTCATCGTTTCTAAAGTCCTCCGTTTTGACCCGTCTACACTAAAACGCCCTCCGGAGATTCAAAACGAAAAACGGATCGGCAGCGTTTCTAAACTTCTCCGTTTTGGGTCTCCGTTTTTGCCGTTTTAGTGTGGACGGGAGGTGCAAACGTAGCAAAAGGTCTCCGTTTTTAAATGAAAACGCAGTAGTGTGGACGGGGCCTTAATTACATATTTTCTGTTTCCTGGCCCTTTAGGTGCTTTGTATGTATCAATCCGGAGAGAGGAACAAAGAAGTCCAGAGGAAAATTGCCATCTAAAACGACAGGGCAAATGGTACAGAAGAAACAGGTTGCAGTGAACCCACATGTTGCCACTCTTCCCAGCAAAGTGATGGGTTATCAGTGGAATTTCTGAAATGTAAGTAACACACACACACACACACACACACACACACACACACACACACACACAAAGATCTATTTTTTCTTTAATTGTAACCTTTTAATATTCTTTATCTGTCTCTAACTGTATCTGTCATCCCTCTATCTGTCTCTGACTATATCATTATGTTTTGTAATATATCTAATATATTGTCCTTTTCAATATTTCTAGCCACTCTTTGCATCCTGTGATGGAACAGCATCTGGAGCTGAATTATTCTCCATTTTTGATCAGAAGTTTGTTGGACTCACTTGGGGCCTTGTTGTTTGGATATGTTTGTCTGGTAATGAAGTGGTGAAAATTCATCCGTGTCTGTGTTTTTCAGAACCATTTTATTATGATCATGTTGGTCAACTTGTTTTAAATGTATGTTGTTTGCGTATTTCTTCTTTGTGTGAAGGGCCATGACGGCTAATTTGTTTCAAGTAATTAAAAAATATTTAATTTCATCATGTCCATTTTTTTAAAAAAATTGCAAGTTTGTAAATAAAAATTAAATCAAAATATACAAAATACACTGTTTTATTACTTTTTTTCATGCATATTTTAAAGTTATAAATTAAACAAATGTTGACCTGTTTTTCAAGATTAGGATGTTGAATAATTTGTTTGTTTTGTGAAGTAATAGGGGAATTAAGTTGTGCATTATACAACACTTAATGTATTTAAAAACAATTTGCATTTGATGAATAATTAACATTTCAAATTCAGCTGCCAGTCATTAATATTCAGACATCAGGAAAATATATTGTATATACTGCATTTTACATATTTCCTCTAGATATAGCAAATACAGAGAATCATGTAACTTACTGTAAAAAATACAACAATTAAAAAAATACTGTAATCAGAGAATACAGTAAAATTCTGTAAATTAAATTACAGACGCTACTGTAAAAAATACAGTAACTGGCTGGCAACCCTGCTGCCAGTATTTTACTGTAAAATTTACAGGTAATTTTTAACAGTGTACATTCTCTCTGCTTGCAGTGCGTTAGTCACACTTGTCAGGAAAGTCAGTGAGAATCACAAAGTTTTATCGAATCATGCCTCATCAATAGCTGTTCACTTCTGCGCTTTAGTACGATTGTGTTCATATTAGCAGCGAACCGTACCTAAGTTCACATGAACCGTACCCCAGACCACCCTTTTTATGCAGACTCGGTTATGGTTTATGAGTGTGCCCCCGAGTTCGGAAAACAGCGTTCACATCCATCCAAACAAACCGAACTCTGAATCAATCCATTGAACCCAGATGCACACCAAAATCATTAGTGTAAAAGCATCCGTTGTGCGCTTCAAATGAAAAAAAGTGTGAACGCTGCCATACAAATATTAGTGCGCATCAAACAAGCGGACCGAGACCCCTGAAAAGGTGGTCCAAACAAACTCTGGTGTGGTTTGACTGAAATATGAACGCAACACGGACCGAAGAACACACCCTAAAAGACTTTATATTTAATGTATTTATGAATATTGCAGTTATCCTTGTGTTAGGGTTACTGCTTATGAACACTTTTTCCAAAAGGACTAAGTATGTGCTGCTGAGTTTGGTAGGTGTGTGCGCATGTGTTTGTTTGTGTGTGGTCACACTAATCACTTGTTCTCGCATCTATCTAATCAATTCTCTGTCATTCTCTTTTCCGGCAGGGAGGGAGATTGATCTTCAGGAGTCGCCCCACACTCGTTACAATGTTCTCAGTCTTCATTAACACCACCATTAGTCTCACATTGTTACACTTTAACACAACAACACAAACAACACTTCGGCTGCATCACGTATGGAGAGAGTGGAATAGACTATAGTATGCCACTTGGGAAGATTGACTCACATGTGCATACGCAAACAAAAATACAGATATGTATTTAAAAACAGATGGCGAAAAACATAGTCAGCATACTGTTTTATTTGATACATTTCTTTACATTTTTTTTCATTTAGCAGACAACTTACAAATGAGGAACATCAAAAGCAATTTGTCATAAGAAGCAAAAATATTTATAGTACACAATGCAAAGTACAAAGTAGTATAAATAAAGTGGTACACAAACAAGAGCGGAACTGAACAAGATTGATCTTTCTTTCTTTCTTTTTTTTGTCTGGGATTTAAAATCTAATTTGTAAAAGTTATGACCTACAATGCTCTATGCCAGTGTGATATCATTAGTAATCATAGGTATTCATGTGTAAAGTGTGAAAATCACTTAAAGTTCATAGAATTTATGGAATGAATAGGTTTTCACTAGCAAGTACCACACCACAACAATGATGTTGCTCAAACAGCAGCACACCACACCACAAACCAAGGAGAAAATAAGGAGAAAGTGGAAGCAAAGGATGGAAGAGACGAAGAGAGAGATGAGAATCTGAGGGAAAAGTGCAGAGGTAGGAGAGACTGACTGAGAGTAGATGGACAGAGTAGAAAAAGTGCGTAAAGAAATAGTCACAGAGAGTGAATGTTGAGGTTCTTGAGCGAGGGCTTCGTCACAGGAGGTAGTAAGCCGTGTGGTTTGAAAACCCCCCGATGCAGCCTCTGGAGTAAAGAGGGGATATTTCAAGATAGAAAGTGGGGGAAGGGGTTGAAGGGATGAGTTATGAGGGCAGGGTGGGTGGTTTCAAATATCTGAGACAAACAGTGTTGTGAAGGTTGGTTTAGTATAAATATGTAATAAGCTATGTGGCCTTGCTCCTGAACTTTAGTTAACTTGTCAACTAATTGCATAAAATATGTATTTTAAAATATGTATTTGTGTAACAAACTTGTGGAGTGTATAGACCAACTGCAAAGCAATCTCAGATCCTTGGACCCTACAGTATAGTCACGTTTACAACCTGCTGAGTAAAAGATGAAGTATAAGAACAAAGAGAGGTAGAAAGCTGAGACAGTGAGTGACCACTGTAAGTGGATGTAACAACCTGCTGCTGTGAGAGAAATAAAAGCTAGTGTGGGTTGGGACGGCTCTTCTCCACTGAAGGGGAAATAACCCCTGCCTTCTCAGCTCATATAATATTAAATATATCTCTCCTTCCACTTCTCTCTTTCCCCTCCTCTTTCTTGTAGGGCATATAGAGAGGGCAGCATTCATACACCCTGTCTTTCATATCAGCTCTCTCTCCGGTTCCCTCACTCTATCCATCGCTCTCTCGCTCTCTTTCCCTGAGCGTGCGAGAGGAGTTCAGGCAGCAGCTACGTCAGCCGCCAGCGAGCAGCTGAGGAGAGCTGTGGAACTCGCATGTATGTGTGTGTGTCTCTCTCTCATCCTTCTCTCATAGTCTCCACCTCATACCTCTACTCTCTCTGGAGTCTACGGCTGTGGCACATCCTGGGGCACTGACACGGCGAACGAAGCACCTCCTCTCACCATCTGCACTCTGCTCCTCAAACAGCAGCACACCACAGCACAAACCAAGGAGAAAATAAGGAGAAAGTGGAAGCAAAGGATGGAAGAGACGAAGAGAGAGATGAGAATCTGAGGGAAAAGTGCAGAGGTAGGAGAGACTGACTGAGAGTAGATGGACAGAGTAGAAAAAGTGTGTAAAGAAATAGTATTGGAAGCAAGAAACAGAGATGAAGTGAGGAAAGCAGAGCTGATAGAGAAAAAGATCAGAGGTGATCCTGATAAGAGTAATATTTGTTATAAATAGGACGCGGTTGGGCACGGGAGAGAATAACAACCTTGGAGAAAGAAGATTTAGGGAAAAATGTACTAACAGCCACGTTGCGGTAGAATAGCTGGCGAAACGGAAAAGAGCAAAGGCTCAGGGAAAGATCAGCAGGGGGGATCAGAGTAATTTGCAAAGGGCTCTTCACACGCCGCCCTGGCCAACCACATGCCCATCGAATTTGTTTGTAAAATCAAGTTTGCTGAGGGCGACGAAGCCAAGACAGACGGAGGCGGAGCCGGCATGCTAGATGAAGGCCTACGGCGGCGAAAAGGAGGCATGGCTGACCTGTCGTCCTTTGCTAGCTCCTCTTCGCTACACGGTCTGGCTCGGGCATTGGGGACGTCAGGACGCTTGGGCTTAAGACAGACACTCTGGGGACTGGCACTGTTGGTCTCACTCTGCCTCTTCCTGTACCAGGCGACATGGAGCGCGGCAGCTTATCTGGAGCATCCCCACCTCGCATCACTGAGGGAAGAAACCCACCGTGAGCTCACCTTCCCGGCCATCACACTCTGTAACGTCAACCGATTCCGCTTCTCTGCCCTCACAGATGCGGATATCTACCACTTGACTAACCTCACCGGCCTGCCGCCCAAGAGCCGTAGAGGACACCGGCCAAGTGAGCTCCAGTACCCACCCCCAGACATGCTAGACATTTTCCAGCGCACTGGCCACCAGTTGGAAGACATGCTGAAGAGCTGCAATTTCAGTGGGCAGAACTGCTCAAGCGAAGACTTCAGTGTGGTGAGTAGCGCAAGCTATGTATGGCTACCAGATGCCAAAAAGATTTAATTGTGATGGGATAAGGACATTTGTTTGGCTTGAAAGTCTTCTCTTTGCATGGCTTTCTTTGTTTGGTGACTTTGAGGAATGTTTCACAATGCCTCCTTTAGTCTTTTCAGTATGAGAGGCAGCTAACAGCAATGATTTGTGAGGAAAGAGGAAATTAATCCCCATCCGTCTGTGTCTAACCTCCACGCTGGGGCAACAGACTGTAGTTTTTTTGCCATCTCAATTTGAGACCTGCCACATTTCTCTCCCACTTTCTAGATCCCTTTCTTTTCCTGTTACATCATAGTCTGTCCCATCTGATGCGGAGTCTTATTTTGGCCAGAGAATGGATGAAAAATTCAGGAGAGGGACAAGCGACACGATTCCTGCATTAGCCCAGTCAGCCTCGAGGAGACACGCGCTCAACTCTCAAAAGAAAGTTCCCTTGCTTACATTGACATTTTTTGTTTGTCAAGATGCATGATTCTTTTCAGTTTTGCTTTTGTAGCTGTAATTTCAGTCAGTAATTTCCTCTTAGGGCTCCTTTTATCATTCTACACAGGATCAGATAAGAGAGATTTTCCGTGATATAGACCATGAGACTTCTGTCAAGGATATCAGCTCTCTCTGAGTTCAAGCCCTAGCTTATACTCCTTTTCTCTGTTAATTCCTTCACTTTTTTAGTCTTGGTTTCTTGTGCATAGTTTTGAAATATAATCATTTACTATCTGATTTTATGATAGTGAAGGCTTAGGCAGGTGATTTACTGCATTATCCTGTTCACAAAGTTTGCCAGTATGTATGATGTATATATGGTTGTGTGCATTCAAATGGCTGCATTTTTGTGCTTATTGCTGACAGACAGTCTGTTTGTCAGTGATTGACATTGTAACCTGCCCTTATAAAAATATTTTCCCATTTGCATTTAGGAGAGCTATAGTCAATATCCTAACATCCTACAAATCTACAGTTTTTCAAATAAAGTGCACATTTAGCGAAACTCTAAATCTTCTAAAACCTTCTAATATAAAGGTGTATTTTAATTTTAGATGATTAATTTTTATTATCTTTATGTTTTATTTGTAATATTTGTAGTATTATTAGTATATTGTTATAAGAAAATTATTATATATGTAGTATATTAATCTTGCCTCAAGGATAATGGAAAAAAAGATTTGTGGCTTCCTATCTACATTTTGATGTGAAAGTCAGAATGTGCGACAGTAACTGTCCATATGTATTTCTTTGGCTTGATTTGCTCTTTTGTAGATAAAATAATGCAATGGTCATCAGTTCCTACAGAACTTTCCACTTCTGAAGTCATAATTTCGAGCTTGAACACCAGGTTTGTTCTTGGGGTAAAATTATTAAAGCCAGACTGTATTGAACATATTTGAATTAAATAATGAAATATACTTTATTGTCCCCAGTAGGAAAATTTGGTGTGGACTTAGTATGCAACATTTCTACATCACACATTACTACCCAGTAGTAAATATGACTTGAGAGGGCGTTCATGTCCAATTTCCGAGTAGGAAACTCATATTTACAATGATTCCCATAGCATGTGAAGGCAGAATTACATTAGTACACTGGGATTTTACCCCTTTATTATGTTGCAGTTGCTAAAACTGCTGCCCAGTTGTAGTGTTATTCACTTGCCAAACCCCATTTTTACGTGCATTTGGTGTTTGTTAGTTTTCAATTTTGTGGTACAGTACGTTTATTGTTGACATTCTATTTAGTTAAACGTTTCATGCTCTTTGATCTATAAGAAGTCACTAGCAGCTGTGATCTCTCTCTGTGATGTCTTCAGATCTTGAACCATCCTTATTAGGCTCCTTTGTTGCTCAGTTATGATTTCCTGTTTTGTCAAGAGGTTGTGCAGCAGTGCCAAAATACATTTAGTACAGTACTTGTGAGTTTAACACATCATAGTTTTGACATAAAAACCCTTGTTATGTACTGACATTGCAACAGGATGTTATAGAAGTCTTAAAGTCTGTGGAATTTGAGGTTGCTTGATGCAATAATGCACCTGTAGACATCTTTTGGCATTGAAATTAAGTAGTGCTACAACTGTACTATATGTTATTTAAAAATATAAATGCATGCTAAATGAATTTTAGTGTCTGTAAATTAGTGCTGTAAATTAAATGGAAGGAAGCAATATGTAAGATGAGAAAGACTGAACATAAGAATATTCTGTTGTCAATACAGTCATTTGCTTACGTTGTTGTGCCATTATTGGAATGAGTTAGGCTATGCCAGCCAGTCTCTTTTAAAATGTACCTACCTGTCATGTAAAACATGAACAGTGACTTATGGTTTTGATACAGTATTGGATCAGCCTTTTCCTATCGAAGTGGACAGTTGGTTACACTTTATTTTGATGGTCCACTTTAGACACTGCACTAATGTAACCCCTCCGATTCTACTCACACCGCTCCGAGCGGGATTCGGGTCTTTCTAGCTGTCCTCCGTTACACTTAACCCACTAAACCTCACTCTCATATGGGTCACGGTTAAAATATAACCCCTCTACGGTTCTACTCGCACTCGCAAGCGGGAACGCCGTTTCTGGGATGGTTAATTTCAACCATTGAAACCTTTTTTAGATTAATTTTTGTAGAGATTTGAGATGTACCTCTCTCAACAAGTCACACACAAGTTACAAGTTGATCTATCTGGTCTCTCCTTTCTCCAGGGATCACAATGGCCCTTTTTTGGCTCTAACACAACAATTGAGCCGGTCTAGTTGTCCATCTGAAGCGATTAGAGAACCTTCGAAATCATTATTTTGTTTAAGTACCAAAAATAGGCTGCTACATAGGCTTAAGGGCAACAAGCTGTGTTTTGACTCCCTCACCAATCAATAAAAAAGTGTGTTTAATCAATCCTTCTGGAATCCATCTGGCACAGCTAAAGCACAACCATTAGGCCTATATCAATAGAATCAATGAGAAGCTAATAACTATGCGAGTTCAAACAGAATCAGTCTTTAACTTTTTCTTGATTCTATGACATTCATTTTAAAATGCATCTGAATCTTAAACATTCCAACATTCCAACTGAACAACCAGAAATCTACAGTACATCCCTTATTGTAGACGTGTTTACATGGACCCTAATAATCAGTTTGTAATCAGACTATTAGCCCATTCAGAATAAAACAGTCAAATGTAACCATGTCAATCAGAATGAATTGGTCTAATCTGATTGAAATTTTATTGGGATTGGGGAGGGTGGTGGTTAAACCTTTTATAATACATTCGATAGGACAATGTTAATTGCCCAGATGGATTTCATGCAGGATTGCACCTTCCACTAGGTGGGACCCAAGTGGGCAACATGCACAAGACCCATCTCGGTCCCAGCTTTTCCAACATGTTGTCACTGTTATGTGACCTACGGTGTCAATTGTGTCGCTTCACTGCTATTCTCCTGTCTCCGGAGATCATAATGGCCCTTTAATGGCTCTAACACAAAAATTATGCCTGTCTAGTTGTCCATCTCATAGGATGAAGCTATTAGAGAGCCTTAAAAATCATTATTTTGTTTCAGTATCAAAAATAGGCTGCTACATAAGCTTAAGGGCCACAAGCTGTGTATTGACACCCTCACCAATCAATAAAAGAGTGTGTTTGGCCTCGTGGGATTGTAAAGTGTCACACTTCAGAATCTCGGTGGAAGTAGTATAGGTCATCTGGGTACATTTTACACTTTTCACTGTTTTTCGAATACTATGTATTCGGACATACAGTACTACTCTGATGGTGTACTGTTTTTCGGATACTATAGTAGGGAAGTATTTGATTTCAGAAGCAGCAATAGCGTCATAAATGCCTAATCCTGGCTTAATCTAAGTCTTGTCTGTGAAACCAGGCCATTAGGCCATAAAAAAGAGAAAAGAACCAGGAGGATGGCTAGTGTGCACATCTTGAAACAGTGTGAAACTCTGTATTTTTGCATTGTGTGCAATTTGCACATCAATCTGATCTCTTTATTTAGAAATAATTTAGACTGATGAATCTTCTGAACACAGTGTTTACGTGAACAAAATGTGTCCATGTAAATGTAGCTACTGATGCTCCTGAAATACTATATCACTAAATGTCACCATTGTGTTTTCATGTAGCTCTGTACATGGTTGTTGAGAGATGAAAACTTATTATATATTTTCCCCATCCAGATACAAATCTCATTTTCATGCACTCAACAATAATTAGATGCTTTATAATGGTATAATATTATTCATCCAATAGTCAAAATGCATTATATGCAAACCATTTTGCTTATACAGTGTCACTCAGAAAACAATTCTAATTTGCATTTCCATTCTATTTCCATTCAAATCAGACTGGTTGAAATTTTTAAGAAGCCAGTGGTTCAGGTGCGAAGGTTGCAACATCCCGGTTGTCAGAGATAAATGTAATTACTATTTTTGGCATACAAGAAAGTCAGCAGTAATCATTTCTGTAAATAATGACCACACAGCGACCTTGGAGGAACAGGAATAAACAAGCTCAGTGGAGGTCAATGGATCAGTTCTCACTTTCCCCTCCATCCTTTAGCTCGGTAATGATTTTGCATGCTTGATTTTCCACAATAGAGAGGCATAGATTAGTGAAACTCACATGAAACATTCATCAGACCTCCCTGCCACTGGGATGGCAATGGATGGGTCCTTCCTGCCACTCACTGGATTTGGCTAATCACTCACACACACACTGAAACGCTTCTGCTCACCATAAATTTAAAGCAAGATTCTCACACATTCAAGAAAAATCTCAATGCATGCATGGACAAAAATGTACACACAAAAACAAATAACTTATAGATGTGATATACCACAAACAGTTACTTCACATCACACATTCTCTGTGTTTCTCCTCAAATATATTACTTTATCTCTAATGTAGTTTTAAGAAAAAAAGAAGAAAACAACAAAATCTCCCAGCAGCAGATATGTC